TGTGGCAAATTAGATTTTGTATACCTGGTGCGGCAAAAAGTACGACTAAGAAGAAGAGTGTGGAGATTAACTGCATTGAGCTCTTCATTTTGTTGTGTTACGTGACTGATTAAGCGAAAAAATTTAGAGAGAAAAATAGAGCTTTTGTAATTGGAATTAACTTGTAAAAAATTAGTGTGAGCAGGTCGGGTTTTATAGTAAACAGAAGTATATGCATAATAAGTAAAATATCCAACGTGTATATTATCTAAGTAAAATATATAGATAAAAAATGGTATCTATGTATGATTCTATAAATGAGAACCATAAAAGTATGTGGAATTAAATCTGATCTTAAAAAAAAAGAAAAGATATAGGCCTATATAATATATAATACATATTTAAGAAAAATATCAGCATATAGATATTGAGTTGATACATCTATACAAAAATAGCTCTTCCAGTTCCACATCACATTTCTACTTTTTTATGCCAAATCATTTTTAATAAATAGATGTTCATTTTATAAAGTAAATTTATCTAAAATAATTGTAGTTAGTTATCTACTGAAATCAAATCATTTTTATTATATATTTTATTTATGAATTAGGAGATGACACATGAAAACTGAATAAGATAAATTCTTTCACAAAAATATATTCCGCAATTAGAGGTTTATCCATTTGAAACCAATGTGGAAGGAACCAATGTCCTTTTTTATTGGGTCTAAAAACTTGATTCATTCATTATACCTTGAGAACCGGTTTCGGTTAATACATTGGCTATAACTGATTTTGCGAGTTTATCCGCTTCTTTGTTTTGGGATCTAAGAACATGAACAAAACTCACATCCAAATCTAGAGAGAATTTGTAAAGATCCTACATGATTCCGTAGATCTCTAGGTAGATCGTGTTTGTGTTGATGAGATTGATCAATTGCTTTGAATCCGAGATCATATGGAAGCCGCGAACCAATGTCCTGACATTTAATATTTTTCGTATGGAAAATACATTACAATATCTCAAAAATTTTCTAGAAAATAAACTAGATACTGGCTTAAACATCAGAAAACCTCTAAAAAACATCACACCGATTTCGAAGAAACAAGGTCGGTACTCTTCCATGACCATCCATATATTCTGATTTTTCATGATTTTCATTCATCCAAAAAATAACGAAATTAATACGAAAACAATTTTTTTTTTGGTAAACTTATACGAAAACAATTTGACGCTTAAAAGAAGAAAATATTAAATTAGTGCACTAATGACAAATACGAACAACTTGAGTCCATCACGAGGAAGTTCAGAAACTACTAAAGACCATTAGTTTTAAGCGAGTATTATAGGAGTTTCCCTGTTTCGCTAAAGGAATTCATAAATAATTTGTTGGAGAGTTCCAACAGATTTATCGATGATTATTTTGAAATGCTGTTTGAAAGGCTTTGTCAACATATTGATAAGAAATACGTCTTTCCAACAAACTTTTATGATCCATTTTTTTAAGTATTATTAATTATAAGCTCAAGTAAAACTTTTCCGCTCTAATCTCAATCAGATCGACATCTCATGAACGCTATGTATATTTAGATTTTCCATTAGCGGAGAATCAGACCATTTAGGAGATGAAATACAATAGATATTCACTGAATTATCGGATATGAAATGGTATTAGGATTTAGGAGATGAACCTACCATCA